TATGTATTCTTTCCACTTTAATGCGCTAGTTCAGTGATGATGAAATTATGGTTCGACTCACAATTAAAGTGACAGTAGATTTTTTGAGTGCGTTTTGTTCGTTTTGTTTACCTGAATTATATCGTTTTTTCACTTTTATAAATATATTCCTAAAGTAAGTAGATAACATGAATCAAATATACAATTACATACTTTTAAACTATTTTTTATGACCTGTAAACTAAAAACAGTAAAAACGAATATGTCAAATTTAATGATGTTTTTGTTAAAAGTTTGGTTAGAATTAAATGTCAGTGGAACCAAAATGACATCACACTGAACTAGCGTATATGCCTAAGTATTTCGCCGAATTAGTTAATGGTATTCTAGTAGGGGAGAGTAGGGCAAAATGGTCCCTTTAACAATTTTTTAGGCAAAATATTTAAGTACAGTTTAATCAAACAATAAAACGAACATACCGGAACATAGTTCCCTGAAAACATGATTCCTAATGATAAAAATAACAGAAAAATAATTTAACTCTTAAAAAAGCTCTACAGGAATCATTTTAAACCATGCTCAGGGTAAAATGACCCTCCTCATGGGGTAAAATGACCCCTATATTTTTTTTGTCAAGCAAAAGTAAAAAAAGATAAATTTTATTTGCAAAAATCGTAAATATACACTTTCTGCTTTCCTGTAACACCCGCGCACAATGAATGATACCATTTTTTGCACAAATTGCACATAAACCAAACCTCCTTTGCCTGCGATTTACTGAATAATTCCAAGCAAAATATACAGGCGGCGTCGTCTTCATCAAAACTTGTACCTTTATTTTCTTTCTTTTTTCCAAACACCTTTCGGCTTATGGCTTTTCTAGCTGCTTGTGAAGTTGACCTGGGTGTTTTTCTTTTACCAAAAGATAGTTTGATGTGGAGGTAAAAACAGTTGCTCCTTTTGCTCCTTGAGAAGGTCTTGAACTCCTTGTCTGAGGAGGTGTCTGAGGTAGTGGAGATATATTAAATGGGGTTACTAAGGTATCCTCCAACGAAGATGGAATTGCATGCTAACTTTCGGCTTGGAAGTGTTAACTTTGGAATTTGGGTCTGAAGTACTGACTGTAAGGCTTATCCAGATAGCACAAAGTCGTCTTAAAGACGTCTTTAAGACGTCTAGCATAAGACATTCGAGACGTCTGGTATTTCCTGAAAGACGTCTTTAAGACGTCTTAGAAGACGTCTGATGTTACAAAAAGCGACGTTTTTAAGACGTCTTATTAATGGCTTATATTGGTTTGTAGAGCTTAAAATAAGCCATAAATAAGACGTCTTTAAGACGACTTATTAATAGCTTGTAATGGTCTTGTGAAGCCTTAAATAAGACGTATTTAAGACGGCTCATAAATAGCTTATAATGGTCTTATGAAGCCTTAAATAAGCCATAAATAAGACGTCTTATTAATGGCTTATAATGGTCTGATGAAGACTTAAGTAAGCCATAAATAAGACGTCTTATTAATGGCTTATAATGGTCTTATGAAGCCTTAAATAAGACGTCTTATTCATGGCTTATAATGGTCTTGTGAAGCTTTAAATAAGCCATAAATAAGACGTCTTTAAGACGACTTATTAATGGCTTATAAAGGTCTGGTTAAACTTAAATAAGCGATAAATAACACGTTCATTATTTTTATTCTGTCAATTCTATAACCTGTTTATAATAATATAAAATAATTTAAAAATGGGTATCATCGTGCATCTTGGTTATTAAAATTAGTAGAATAACCTTGCAGGTTATAAAGAATGCAAAAAATAGAATTAAAAATATTTATTGATAAAATATCTATTAATCACAGGTCACTAAGAATTATTTTCTTTGTAGCGCATTTGATCACTCCTCTTTAGCCATAACTGGATTGATTTTTTTCTTTCTTTTTGATTTGAAGTTGCCTTTGTATAGTCGCTCCTAAAAAGAAATTTAGGTAAGAGCATTATAGTCACAGGAAGTTATACTTTGTAAAAGTTAGTAAAAACCGAAAGAACAATTTTATTATGAAACAAAACAAAAAATTAATTTCTTACAATTTTAAATCAATTTTTATAACAAATCATTTAAGACAAGATGAGATATTATACTTAATCGCCTATTTTGACAATTTGATTTTAACTTCACTCAAAATGGCTATCTAACATGTGGCTTTTGATATCAATAGTTCTCGAAATCTCCATAAAATTTAAAAAAAGGAAATTGACGAATAACTGAATTAAATCTTATATTAAGATGTTTACTTTTTAATTCATTTAATTATTCTTATTTAGAAGAAACAGGATATTAATGTTTATGTATATAAACAAATATTCATTTATAACCTGTAGAAAGTATTCCAGGAACGTGATACATCGGTAACAGAAACTCCACTATTCTTCCTTCTCTGGTTTTAGTCCCATATTATTTAAGTAAAAAGAGACTAAACACAAATGCACAAGGTAGCCCAAACACACTTTTGGAGGCTATAATCGCGTACGTAATAGAATAATCAATAATTCACAATAAGCTTGGGCTTGAATGTAGTGTAAGTCTTGTTCTTCTTCTTTCTTAGGTTTTTATAGGCTCAATCCTTCAGGATTATTTACCCAGGTTATGTTTTTTTGTAGAATGCAATTTCATGAAAAAGCTGCACCCTCGCGCGTCTGACCATATAGTCATCACTTTTTCACTACACTTGATATTTAATAAAATGTGTATTTGAAACTTTGGCATAGAATTTACCAAAGTATTTGGTAATACTTTAAAAGTCGGATGGTCAATTTAAAACTTTATATTTTATGAAAACTGGACTCCCGATTCTGAGACCACCATTTCGATGTTGACACGTCGGTGTCAGAATCGAGAGTCCATAGTGTTAAGTCAAACGTCAAACTTCACTTCATTTGAGTCTTCTTTTAAATTTGAATTATGTAAACCGTGCAAGTTTCCGTCCGACTGAAAGACGTTTGTAAGACGTCTTAAAGACGTCTTTGAGCTTTCACATTAATATATGGATTTGGAAAGACGTCTTAAAAACGTCTTTGAGCTCTCACATTAATGCGTCTGAATTATGGCTTTTGACAGACGTCTTAATAACGTCCTAGGACATTGAGACCAAACCAAGACACAAAAAAGACGTCTTTCAGACGTGGTGTGCTATCTGGGTATACTGTCAACTTTATGATTTGAAGCAACAACTTCCGGGTTTGACGCTGCATTGCATAAAGTTTCATTTTCTGATTAGTCCCCTGCATAGGTATCAATAAGACTGACTTCATCTGAAGATTTTCCATTTGTCTCCCATTCCTCTGATTCATCTAATGAAGATATATCACGAATTTTTCGTTTCCTTATAGGTAAAGTTATTGAAGACGTACTTGGAAGTGAAGAAGTACCTCTTTGTGGAAAAGAAGTTCTTTGTTCACGGATGAGAGCACCAGTTTCATTTTCCACTAGGGGGCGATCTGTTGTGAAGGATGGTTTAAATTTCCAATCTGGGAATATATTCGGATTAAAGGGACATATTTCTGTTTTCTCAAATCCACTGAGTCCGTTGTTAAGTGTGGCAGCTCTTCTATACGCTTTCCCAAACAAGCTAGCAATGTTACACAGGGTTCGTTTTAAGCCATAAAATAAATTCTTCATTCAAATATGCCATTAGGGTCGATGGTGTAGCGGTCTATCGCGCTTATATTCATTTATAGGCGAGTTTATGAGTCTGAGACTGCTGGGCTTCGAATCCCAGACCGGACCATGTGGATTTTTAATTAAATTGCATGGTTCGGTTTAGGATTTGATGTGTGCCGTATTAATGGAAATTCAATTTCTGTTGATATGACATGCAGATTATAAAATCGCCATACATTATCGTCTCGATGATGGTGGGTGAGGTTTCCGGGTTTTCCTCACCTGTAAGTCAAATGGCACCATCAATCATCCTTAAGTCGCCCCGGAGCGCCACGGCAAATAATAATAATAGCCGTCCCTTCCCCTACACAAGTCGTTCAGTCGACTTCAGGGGTTGAAATTCACTCGTAAGGGGGTGAATTAGGGAGAGTATTATTATTATTATTATTATTATTATTATTATTATTATTATTATTAGAGGTGAAAATACTGCCACATCCAAAAGCTGCATCTCGTGTGTGCAGTGTGGAGGAAACGACAGCATTATAATGCCATTTTCTATACAATATTCTATAGCTTGGACAGACTTGTGGCTTGAATGTCCGTCAAGCAACAAAAGGGCCTAATTTTCAATTGAACGCTGGGTATGTTGTTGAAAATGCTTCAAGAACAGAATAAAGGTGTCAGATTTCATGTACCCAGATTCATTGTAAAGACAAGTGTTCCATATGGAACACCTTAAAATAATAATTTATTTCTTCTTTTGCGGGGGAATATTATTGCCGGAGGAATAAATTGACCAGCAGCGTTTACACATAGAACAACGCTAACATTTTGCCCTCTCTCAGCACTTGTTAGGAAACCGACCTGCTTTAGCCCTGTGTGTGCTAAAATTTTGGGCAGCTTACTAGGGACCGTCTGAATACCTGACTCATCCATATTGTAGGTTTTGTAATGTCTTCACCTATTTCAAATGTTAACATGAATAGCGGCAATGGCTTTTTTATAACAGTTCTTATAACTTGATTTCTTCTTTCTTCTTCTTTAGTTTCTATCCTTAGGATATTAACCACATACAAGATTTTAAATTCACTGCTTTAATTCTTCAGCTATATCTTCTGGCTTGCAGGTAGGGTGTAAGTTTCTAGCCATCACTTTTATTGGTCTGGTTTGTTTCATCTCATATGTGAAAAATAAAGTAATTGTTATTGTATATTCTATTTATTTTACAAAAATCTCACAAATTTCGAATTTTTTTTATTCAATATATTTTTAAAGGTATTTCAAAAACATATTTTTTTTGTTAGAAGGGCAACTAGTTATTTATTATAACTTGATTTGCAGTATATTAAAATAATTTTCAGGATTTCTTTTTGAATCAACGTCCGGATGCCAAAAATTTCGACTACGGTGATATTTCATCGCGTTTGCAACTTCGCAAAGAGTTAAAATGCCACGATTTCGATTGGTACTTAACGCATATCTACCCGGAACTACCTCTACCGACCGAAGAGGGAGAGCGTTTGAAAAAGAAATGGTCAGCTTTAGAGAAAGACAAATTTCAACCGTGGCATTTAAGGAAAAGAAATTATGTTGATCAGTATTCTATACGTTTGAGTAATAGTAATTTGTGTGTATCGAGTGTGAAGGATATTAAGATCAAAGGAAGTGGCTTAGTTTTGAAGTAAGTAGTTTTAATTCTCAAATATTTATCGTCATCAATCGTTCATACTATTTTGAATTTTATACTTAATACCTCATACTTAATAATTAATACCTAATAATTAATACTTAATTCTCAATACTCAATACTAATTAATACTCAATACTTAAGAATTAATACTCGATAATTAATACCTAATACTTAATACATGATACTTAATGTATAAATGATTAATACTTAATTCTCAATACTTAATACTTAATAATTAATACTTAATACTTAATACTTAATACTTAATACTTAATACTTAATACTTAATACTTAATACTTAATACTTAATACTTAATACTTAATACTTAATACTTAATACTTAATACTTAATACTTAATACTTAATACTTAATACTTAATACTTAATACTTAATACTTAATACTTAATACTTAATACTTAATACTTAATACTTCATACTTCATACTTCATACTTCATACTTCATACTTCATACTTCATACTTCATACTTCATACTTCATACTTCATACTTCATACTTCATACTTCATACTTCATACTTCATACTTCATACTTCATACTTCATACTTCATAATTCATACTTCATACTTCATACTTCATACTTCATACTTCATACTTCATACTTCATACTTCATATTTCATACTTCATACTTCATACTTCATACTTCATACTTCATACTTCATACTTCATACTTCATACTTCATACTTCATACTTCATACTTCATACTTCATACTTCATACTTCATACTTCATACTTCATACTTCATACTTCATACTTCATACTTCATACTTCATACTTCATACTTCATACTTCATACTTCATACTTCATACTTCATACTTCATACTTCATACTTCATACTTCATACTTAATACTTAATACTTAATACTTAATACTTAATACTTAATACTTAATACTTAATACTTAATACTTAATACTTCATACTTCATACTTAATATGTATATTAGTACAGTTGAATCATAATAACAGTATGTGCTAAACTGTCATCATAGTTAGCGCCATATTGTAAATGTGTGTAAATGAGTGGCGTAAAAATTTCAAATTTGTTGGTCAACACAAAGTGAGGTTGTAAAAACGAAGATAAAAATACAAAGGGTAACTAAATTGTTTGGATTAGACATTTTTAAAATAGTACCTAAAAATAAATTTCAAATTAGTAGGTACTTACCAACTTTATTATAATACATAAAACGCCATGAATCCAAAACAATTGAAAATTGCAACTTTTCCAATTTGAAATTTCAATTTATATACAGGGTGGACCTTTGGTAACGCCTCTGTCTGTTGTGCCAAAACTATATTTTTTTTTAAATCCGTTTTCACAGCTAGATGTATATCAGAAAAGGTAACAATTTAAAAATAATTTCAATTATACAGGGTTTTCCAAGAAAGTGATACAGATGAAAATTAGGTTTTTTAAATGGAGCACTCTGTATTTTATTTTATATTTGCTTTCCGCTTTTTCCATTATAACAGTACCAAATAGTATGAGATTATACAGGGTATGTCACACACTATAACCCGTTTTATATGAAAATTGTATTGATATTGATGACCTGTATAGTGAAAAAGAAACAAAAACCAATTTTTATGCAGTAAAAGGTTTTCGACATTAGTCATCATTTATGCCGATGTACTTACGTTTTTTAATTAGAAACAAATCTGTACAGGGTGAGTCAAAACTCAAATACATCATTTTCTCGTTGTTTTTTTTTTTTTAATTGACCATTTAAAAGTACCCCAATTAAAATTTAATTTGAGTTAAGCATTCCTTATACTTAAAAATAATTTTGAGAGATTTTTAAATTTAAATGAAAAAAAAAAGATAATTCACAAAATACTGATCACTAGTTAATAAGAAATAGACTGTTTGTTAATTGGTAAAAATGTTTATGATGTTCAATGTTTGTTTACCGGACGTGAGTTACTATTACCAATATTTTAATTAATTATGTATTATTTATTGTAGACCATGTAAATCAGGTAAAAATCAAATATGGTATGAAACGGACAAAAACGAACTAGTTTTGGCTCAATTACTTTGTCTTCAATATGGCAAAGCAAATCCAATCTTATATAAATGTCATGAAATGGGCGGAGATCAAGAATGGAAACATAAAGGAGGGGTAAGTAAGATTATTTGATTTTTATGTTATAAAATATTTAATGCGAAAATTTGGGGATAATAGGCTAAATTTCGCTCTAATGTGCACTTTATTTTTGTGATCTATATTTAATGCAAATAAAGTGGTTTATTACACTGCACAACAGCATTTCTGATAATAAAAGACTTCAAATCTGTAATCTAAATATTAGCTCTAGTTTAGAAAATATGACACATGGCCGTTTCATAGTTAAACACAATTTGTTTAAAGTTAATCATATTTTATTTAGTTCTTAAGGTGACAAAAACTTTCTTTTATAAGACTTCCTTGCAGAGGTTGAACCCATAGAACTGTTCTGAATGCTCCAACAATAGTCAGTCATCATGTGTGCGTTCCAGTAGCCTTGATACCGTTCCTCCATCGTACGAAGGTCCTAGCGAGAAAATAATCTAGGTGGTTGTGAAGAAAGTGTAACTTTATGCTCATGTTACATCCAAGGGTTTGAAAGTGACTCGTTAGTTGTTCAACGTGTTGAGAATAATTAAAAGTTTTCTTATTTCCCAAAAAAATTTGAACAATCCAAACAAACTCATTCCATGCGTTTTTCTCAATTTCTGTCATAGTATCCGTACATGTTGTGTCTTTTATTAATGATCTTATCTGTGGCCCATCGAAAATGCCCGCTGTTATCTTTTCTACACTCAGTTTCGGGAATTTTTTTGATAGAAATAGAAAACAATTTCCAGTTTTGTTAAGACCTTTGACAAACTGTTTTATAAGCCCTAATTTTATATGCAACGGAGGCAAAATTATACGATCTCTTGACACTAAAGGTGGGTTTATCACGTTTTGTTGTCCTGGAACTAGATATTTCCGAGTAGGCCAATCCTTTTTAACCCAAGGTTGATTTTTAGCTCTACTATCCCATAAGCAAAGAAAACGAGGATACTTTGTGTAACCACCTTGCTGGCCTAATAGAAAGTTGACCATTTTTAAATTAACACATATGATCCAGTTATTTTCCACATATTTAATTTTGTCCAAAACCAGAGCAATACTTGTGTATTCTTCTTTTACTTTTGTAGAATGTGCAATAGGCAATGACCCTAATTTATTCCCATTGTGTAAGAGAACACATTTTAGATTCCGTTTTGAATAAACGCCACTCACTAGAAACATAATTTTGTAATCCCATTGCAGCCATCAATCCAGATACATCTTTACAAAATACGAAATTGTCTTCTTCAGCAAAATATTTGTGGAAATTCTGTTTTCTTGTGCGGTAATAGGAAATGTTAGTTTCTTTCGTTACCAATTTTTTTTCTTTTAGCCTTGAAGCCAAAATTTCTAAAGCTGACTTTGACAATCCCAGATCTTTAATTAAGTCGTTTAAATCATCTTGATTGAATGATTTTGGCGTTCCCAGGTCGCATTCAAAGTCACTATCAGATCACTACTGTCGTTTTTCGTCTCGAAATCTTCTGGCTCTTCCTGTAAAGTACCAGATTGAGATTCACGTGTAGACTTAGAGCCCAGGACACGTCTATGTGCCGATTGTATGGAAGTATATCCCCATTTGGCTCGATTTTTTCGGTTAATACCAGTTATGTTCACCAAACAAAAATAACAATCGTCATGGTGGTTCATGGGTTCATTCCAAATCATAGCGGTTTTGTACCTGAAGCTATGTCTTTTCTTATTTGTCCATAAACGTAGGAACTCAACGCATGTTTCGCATACCTTTTGCGGAATCCAAGGCTTATTCTTCATTTTCAATGGGTGCTCAAAGTAATTTTTTTTAAGCCTCCTTTACGAACGTTGTCACATTTAAACGTTATTCTTCGCAAATGAAACAAAAATTGTTTGAATCATTCACACATACTCTTCTTGACGATGCCATATCAAATTACAAAATAAAACAATAATTTAAACAAGAAAGATAATTTCACTATTGTCTTGCTAGACCTTCCCCTAAATGAACAAAGATAATTTCTTTAGAATTCTGAAATTGGGTTTTACCGGTCATTAAAGAGAAAAGTATGTTCTAAGAAACTACAGGGGGTCCGCGGTCGTACAACAGAGGGGTCGTTAAATATGTATAATAATTCAATAATTATTATTAAATAAACTGCAAGTAAACAGTATAATACAGCGAATTTTTAGTGAAAGCTATAACTCGTAAACAAGGGTTGTCGGAGAAAAAAAAGTGGGGGTATATTTAGAATCAGCGACTTAAAATTAGTAAACATCATGTGACATAAGTCATTCATCAGTCAAAAAGTGTAATTTTGTTGGCCAGTGTTATTATATTATTATGATCCAACTTAAATTATTTACCTTTGAAATTCTTAAGGCACTAGTAAAGGGTGGGGCAGAATAACTTACAATTTTAAAATGTCTGTATAAGATAGAAGAAAATCAAATTTTACAAAAAAAAAATATTATTTTGTTAAAGAACATAAAAAAAGCATTGTTTTTATTTTGAAAAATAATTCCGTTTAGGCGTACACATTCTTCCAATAGTGATCTGCAATTATTTATTACGTTCCGCGGCATTTGCAGGTGAGTTTGGTCCACTTCCTGTCATGTATTATTCATTCTTTCAAAGCCTGAATTGTTAGTCGTTGGGTTACCTTGAAACACTTTACTCTTCAAGTAACCCTACTAGAAAAAACACAAGTGGTAAACGGGGAGGTCAGGTTATATCCCAATTTCGAGAAATTACATGATTTGGATATAACTCCTTTCGATAAAACGCCTTTACTGAGTACGCGCGCTGCTGAGGGGTTCACCGCTCCATTTTTTCTAAATGCTAATGCACACTGATAGCGTCACTACCACCTCTTAACGATACGGGTCGGTTACCGGGTTTCCTAAATTTGTTAGTTATTCTGCCCCACCCCGATTAAGGGGATCTGATATCCACATTCATTTTGAAGTGTAATTGAACCGCAATACCCAAGTAACCCAAAATTCTGCTCGCTATTAGCAAATAATGCTGAATAATGTGAAAAAGTCTAGGTTTGACATATTTTAATTATTTAATTTGAAGTCATAGGTAAGGGAAGAATAGAATGGCAACTCAATGTTAAATCATCAGACCACAGCATAAGAAACAATCAGCAGGCTAACTTGTCTTGGCGGCAACGCTACGCGCACACCGCAATTTTGGGGTCCAACCTCTCAATCAAGCCAGTGGCGTCACTGTCGTCGTTTATTATTATTATTATTACAAACTAATTAGGGCTGAGGAATGAATCCTATTAAGCCCAAAATTACAAGTTCAATAACAAAGACAATTATATCGACAAAAACAAACAAGTTGCAGCAGCACGGAATCAGTAGCGTGTATCTTAAATTTATTTTGTTTGTGATGATTATATTATGTAGTTACTGTTATTTTTTTAGAATTATAGATATTTTTTGACACTTTTTATATAGTAGTTATTTTCCAGTGTTAATTTGTTAACTTTTAAGTGTTTTACTATGTCTAGGCAAAGTTGTGCAGCAAAAAACTATATGAATAAACTGTATTAAAATATTTTTTCGGTTTCTTAAAGATTTTATTAGGTATGTATGGATACTTTTAAAAAAAATCCTAGTTTATGGGTCAGTTATAAAGCTATTAATAAGATGTAGATAGGTGCCTAGTTAACGTCACGTAAAGTTTAGCGTCAATTTATATTTACTTATGTAGGTATATTATTAAGATTTAAAGTAAAATGTTATATTTTAACTCCCGTATGGAGTTGACAAAATGGAAAAATCTTTATTTTTATTTTAAGGAAAAAGTCATTATAAAAAAATTTTGTTTGAAGAAAAAATAGGTTTACTATATTAATATGTTAGGTCAGGTGTACATGGTCTTAATAAATGAAGAAACTTAAAATAGACAAAAGGAAAAAATCTGTATTACCTACCTATTGATTTTACGAAGAAAAGTCACAGTTTTCCTGTCGGTTTTCCTTCATAACTTTAAAAGGAAACTTTTTCTTGTAATTTTCTTCAACAAGCAGAATTTTTTGTATGGAATAATTTTTTTTTTCTGAAAAAAAAAATTAATATTAATCGTAATTGTGTTATTCCCAAATATTGAAATGCTTAACAAAAATTTAATTCTGATATTCATTTTGATAATTATTCTAGATATGCGAATAACAAAGCTTTATAATCTTGATAAATCTAAAGTATTTTCATTACAAAAAGCAAGAAAATCTTAATTAGCCATTAAAGAAATTATAAGTAGTAAATGAGTAATGAGTCACAATCAAAATCATGTGTTTTAAGCAGTGCTATTAAAAATGTAAAATTCTTATATTTTGTCGAAGTAAATTCAAAAGCCCGCCAATTTTCAAACTAAAATAGCATTACATCTTTCTATATTACCGACTGAGTATTAATTGCACAAAACTATTCCATATGTCGCTGAAGGTAAACATGCTGCCAAATTTCTGTGAGGAATCTGCAACTCTTAATTATCCTTCCTCCATGATGGTAACTGTGTAAACCCTACATCGGTCCAAATTCAAAGGACGTTCAAAAAATTGCAATGTTTAAATTTATTACATTCTGGAACTGAAAACTGCGAAATAGGTGGGGATGCTTTACTTGTAAGGCTGCATGAAATTCGTATGACTAGTAAGGATGAGCCATTTTCCAAAATCGCGTGTAATGGTGGCAATATTGTCGAAAATGTAAATATAAACAACATATTAATTAATTGCATGCACAAAATATTAATATTTTTTAAGGAGGTCCTTTCGCCACCAATGTTAAATAATTCGAGAATTGTTGTTGAGGACTTACTTTCTCGTGAGGCACTGTACAAATACTCACATTTAAAAAAAAATTCTCAAAAATTTGCAAGGTAAGGTATAGTTAAAAGTTCAGTATTAGATAAATAAGGACTTCAACTATTAGAAAAAAATTAATTTTAGTCATAATCTAATAACTTTTTTTTAACATTTGAGGCGAGAGGTGTGGCGAAAGGACCTCCTTAAGAACATTTTATTATATATGCGGATTTTTAATAAAAAAAATGTCTTAAAATTCAACGTTGCGATGTATGTACACATTATGCCTTAACACACGAAGACTTGGATATAAGCTCCATGTATTGTTATTATAAAGCATACAAAAAAAGCAAATAAAGATATTTTTGGCAATTTAAAAATGTCAAATAATAGTTTTGTATATTTAATAACAAAAATTGAAATAATTTTTCAACACAATTTTGAATTATTTATCACTAAATCCGGCGTTTCTAATTTTTTTTTTTTATTTAATTAATTCCGAGATAACATTTGACGCTCCTTGTCCCCGATTTCCATAAATATATGTTATTAAGGGTCGATTCCTCCGTTGTGTTAAACGGAGATTAAAATGACATTGTTAATGTAAAAATGTCATTTTAAACTTCGTTTAACACAACGGTGGAATCGGTCCTAAGTTATATTTAAGGCTGCTCATATATTACACTTAATAGAAATTTTAAGACCATCAATAAAAACAAGCTAATTATTTGTCGCAATCTGTAGAGCTTTTTTGTTTTAATACGATCCTGCCTATCAATACCTTATTTTATTACAAAATCTTTAAATACGCTTTAATCCGACCCTGACTAAGACCCCGAATGGCGTCGTCAAGGTCAAATTTTCTTAGTATAATATTTGTATGCGATCAGCGGAAAGTGAGCCTGCCGATTGTTTCTTATGCCGTGATCAGATTATGAATTGAGCGCTATCTGACGGATTATGGACGCATAATGTAGGCAATCGTGTACGTTCGAGGTCGACAGTTGCCTTAAGTCTGAGTTTGATTTCTAATAACCCAACATAACAGAGATCTTGAATATACGTAGCTATTCACAACATAACATCACTCGATTTTGATTTATGTGTATTGGATTGATCCAAAATTGATTTTTTTAATTAATTGAATATTTAATTAAGAAAATTTTATTAAGAATCGTTATATACTTATAAAACTAATGCATTTTTTTTCTTTTCTAGAAAGAAACAGCTATATACAATTTAGCAGCTGGAACGTGTCTTGCAGCCGAAAATAAGTCCATCAACTCTGCAGTTTCGATGAAGATATGTTCAAATCCTGAGCTTGCAACTTGGGACTTGGTCAGATAAATAAAAATATTTATCTGTTTGAAATTCAGAACACGAGAATCTGTGATAAAGATGTAAATAATTTTAAGGCAACTCTAGGTTTTATGGGACGTTTAATAATAATAACAAATTTTAAAACTTCTGGTATTTGTTGCATCAATAGTGATGGGAAATCCCAGATAATTTTGAAGATCTGAGTCAACGAATCTTTAAATCAGTTGATATTGCTCTCTTCAGGTTTGTCCATTGAAGTGGTTCTTCTGCATTTACAATGGGCATAACTACTTCCTATTTTATGTGGTGTTGTATCAGCCCACAGAATCTCACAACTTATTTTATATATTATATGTATTGTAATGTATTTAAAAAAAATTTGATAAATTGATTATCATATTAAACTTTGAAATATCTATAATAAAGAATTATGATTTTGTATAAATTACTTTGTTACACACTGTACGTGAAAAAGGTTGAAAAAAAAATGTTTACTCGATAGGCACAAAAATCAACTTTAGGTAAAAATCATATACTATACACTTTTCTCAGTGTAGAATGAATATGTAGATATATCATTAGCAAAATATCTATAAACCTAGTACAAAATGCAGATATTATATAAAACTATACGATATGCAGATTTATAGAAAATATTAAAATAAGAGGTAAGAAAGTATTAGTAAAAATATACAAGACATGCAGTTAGTATAGTTAACCTCTGTCAAATACCTGGAAATTAGAACGATAAGTTATAAGAAAACTATTTCAAAGTTAAGAGTTATTTAACCCAGTTGAGGCGCCATTTTGTAACGTGATCTCTAGTTATTATATCTACTTATATAATGTGTTTGAGCTCAATTCATTGGGCGTGGGTTAGGTTATTAAATAACTCGAATAACTTTTGAAAAAGAAGTTGGGCACTACTATATTTAAAGTTTACTACACTTGACTTCAGATTAGTGATAAAAATATAGAAAATCACTAACAAATTATATTTAAACATTTAAACCATGCTTTAGATAAGGTAGTAGCAAATTCTAATTCACATAGTTTTCTAAATTGAAATTTAAGATGATTTATTCAATAGCACTTATCTTTTGTTAAAAGGAGGTAATATAAGGAATGGTTTATCACATGGTATATCCTCAGGCAGCTTCTTCAAAGGGATTCGGGATCCTTATTTGTAATTCTGCAACGTGAATGATCTCGTGATATTTGGTATTCTAACTTAAACTCGAAACTGTCTAGATCAGTGGTCGCCAACGTGTCGATCGCGAGCTACCGGTAGCTCGCGGAGGCAATTCTGGTAGCTCTCACAACAATTTTAATTTAAAAAATACAAATTGCAAAAATCAGAGAAGCTTCCGAAAATTCCACAAAAAAATCGAATTGTCATAATATTAAATATAAACAGCGGCAACGTTGCGGTGAGCGATCTGCCGCTGACGCCATCAAGCTAGAACCGACCAGCCGGACCAGCGCGTTAGTGTTCGAGAACGATCAGGATTGCTTTGAACGGGATAAATACGCACGGTGCGGCGACATTGCGCTTAGTTTAAAACTAAACGCGTAACCAACGTCCAGCGGTTGGGTTAGTAGAGAACAACAAAAAATAATATAGCAAGTAGTCGTAAGAAGGTAAAGACATACCACTTTCATTCGGAATGGGAAGAACAATACTTTTTTACAGAAGTTAAAGATAAAAATGTGTGTTTGTTATGTAATACTTCGGTCTCCGTTGCTAAAAAAGGAAATATTGAGAGACATCATAAAACTGTACATTTTAATTTTGAAAAATCATTCCCACTACATTCTGTCGCCAGAAAGGAGAAACTGAAACAGTTAAAAAAGCAGTTAATTGGACAACAATCAATATTTTTAAGAACAGTCGACAAAAATAAGGCTGCAACTGAAGCATCGTACCGTGTGTCCCAGATAATTGCACAAAAAAAGAAACCTTATGAAGACGGGGAAATGATAAAACAGGCGTTTTTATAAGCTGCTTATTCGTTATTTGCCAACTTTAGAAATAAAGACGAGATAGTTTCAGCTATAAAATGTATGCAACTTTCTGCTAATACAGTGATGAGACGTGTAGAAGTAATGAGTAATGATATTTTTTTACAGTTAAGAACTGACTTAGATAGCTGTGTTTATTTTTCACTTCAACTGGATGAATCAACAGATGTCTTTGACACTGCCCAGATGGCCGTGTTCGTCAGGATGGTTTTTAGTGATTTTACGATTAAAGAAGATCTTTTGAAGTTTATTCCACTGAAAGGACACACTACTGGACAGGAGTTGTTTTCTCATTTAAAAAATATTATTTCTTCCGAGAAAATTCCAATATCGAAAATGGTAGGCTTGACAACCGATCTCTCTCCAGCTATGGTGGGTTGTGATAAGGGTCTGGTGGCGTTATGTCGTAAAGATGAAACTTTTCCGCAATTTCTCTGTTACCACTGCATTATCCATCAGCAAGCATTATGTGGAAATTTCCTGAAATTAAACAACGTTATGAAACTGGTGGTAAAAATTGTGAACAAGATTAGAGCTCAAGCGTTACAAAGAAGATTATTCAAAACCTTGGCCGATGAAGTTGACTGTCAATACGGGGACCTACTCCTTCACTCTGAAGTCCGATGGTTAAGTAGAGGACGGGTGCTGAAACGTTTTAATGATGTCCTATCTGGCATAGTTCAATTTTTCAAACAACGCGATGAACCGACTCCGGAACTAGAAAATTCAATCTGGCTTAGAGATTTTGGTTTTCTCGTGGACATTACAGATAAATTAAACGAACTTAATTTGCAGCTTCAGGGGAGAGACAAAGAACTAACGGAAATGTTTTCTGATATAAAAGCATTTATCAAAAAGCTGGAGTTTTGGGAACAAAACCTAATTAACAGCGATGCCAAGCATTTTCCTATTCTTTCAAAAAAAATATATCTCAAAATCCATTAGAACCCTATGACAGCAAATATCATGTAAAATAACTTCAAAAATCGTTTTAAGGATTTCAACGAAATGGCTTTAGTAGCGCAGTTTGTTGTTTCACCCTTTATGGAAATTGATATCTAACAGTTTACAACTTGTGTTATGCATAACTTTGGCGAAGACATCACTGCAACAGAAATGGAAGTAATTGAGTTTCAAAATGATTTAGCCTTAAAATCGTTAGTCTCAAGTACCAAATGTATCTGGCCTATTGTAAGTAAAAACAAATATTCAGTTCGATGCCGTGTTGCCTTGAAAGTGAAAGCATTATTCAGTTCAACCTATTTGTGTGAATCTTCTTTTTCCAATATGAAGTTTATTAAGAACAAATATCGCAATCGACTTACAGATGAACATTTGGATAATTGTATTCGAATGGCTTTATCAAATTATACTGGAAACATTAAAAAAAGTATCGATGAGTCTGAGTGTCAGCCTTCTTATTGAACGTGCTTTTTTATTTTTCATTGTTTATGTTCATGATAGTGCGTTACTTTTTTGTTGTTATTATTAACTATTTTTAAATCTTACGTGACATGCCGTTGTGGCTGGATAAAAGTTTGTGTTTATTTTTCAAACACCTTCGTTTGGTAGGAGTAATGTAGCTATAAACAAGTACGTACTAGTAATATTAGTTATTTTGTTATTATTTTATTATTAGTACCTATGTATTACTAGTTAAATAGTAAAATAAATACATATAATGATAAATTAACTGTTGATTATTTCCAGATAAAATAACGACAAATATATTCAACATTTTTGCCACTATTCATTGCCTTTTTTTCGATTTTTAAATTTTCGATTATTCGACTTTTCGATTTTTTGTATTTCCTTTTTTTTTCGCATTTTCGATTTTTCTATTTCTCGATTTTTTAATTTTCGATATGCGATTTTCGATTTTTTGAGTTTTCGATTTTTCGTATTATCGATTTTTCGTTTTTTCGAATTTTCATTTCGATTATTGAGTTTTCGATTTTCTGATTTTTCTACTTTTCGTATTATCGATTTTTCGTTTTTTAGAATTTTCATTTCAATTTTTTGAGTTTTTGATTTTCCGACTTTTCGATTTTCAGATTTTTCAATTTTCGATTTTTCTACTATTTCTATTTCTGCTATGTTTGCAATGTATAGACGTTAGGAATGATTGGAATGCGTAAAATAAGTCACATAAGAAATGCATGGGTGGATTTTAAGAACATTGATATTAAAGTAGTTAGGATGAACCGAAAATTCTGAAAATCACAACCGCAAGTCAATCAGAACTTTCATCCTAGAGTTATCGTGCCGGCATACATATTCACAGACCAGACGAAAATTTTTTTTGCATTTTCAGACTCGGAATGATCGGAAACGTGAAAAAAGTTTAAACAAATGGGGGTAAGAAAATTTTCTCATCTGCACAAATGCAATACTGAGGCCCCTTAGGAAGAATCAGTAATTTTAAATAAACCCTAGCATAAATAGCCACTTTTTATAAAATTGTATTTTAACAATCTCTAATAATCATTATAGACCGGGAGCCGAGAGGGTTTTTGCAAGTATCATAGGCCCCACGCCGAGGCTTTGGGGGTTGATAGACAACGTTATTGCCCACTTTGAATTCCCGATATGGCACCCCTAAAGTGTAGCTTTTAGGGGGGGGGGGGGGTGAATTTTCAAACGAGTAATTAATATCCATGACCCTGGCTCATAAGCCCCACTTTGATTCTTGTTTTATGTCATCAAGGAGGTTGCAAAAGTCCGCGATCTCAATATGGCGTTACTTAAGGTTCGCCATACTTTTCGAAACGTGTAATTTTTCCACTGTGGACATGGATCATGGGCCCCACGCTGTTGTTTCGTGATCTTCGTTAATAATGAACTGTAGAACAAAGATTTCAAAACGCCATATCTCTGGGGCGTCGCCAAGTGGGCGCCATAATGGGGCAACCATGTCATTTTTAGCAATGAACATGTATAATAGGCCCCACCATGGAAATGTGTCTCCTTTGTTAATTTTAATGTCCTGAACAAAGTTCTAATAGCACCATACCGATGCGATGTCGCCAACATCAGATATTGTCTTCCAAAGTTGTTACATTTGTATAGATTAAGTGTATTAAAGGCCCCACTGCCATACCTACATTTTTATGTGTATTTTAAAGGATAGAGCACGAATATATCACTGTCATACCGATGCGATATCGCTAACGTCAGATATTGGCTTCCAAAGTTGTCACGTTTTCATAGGTTAAGTGCCATACCGGCATTTTTATGTGTATTTTGAAGTATAAAGCACGAATATATCACTGTCATACCCATGGCATGTCGCTAAAGTGCACAATTAATCGTAT